AGAGACTCCAAGGCACGTGATTTTTCTCAGTTACTCTTCCCACTTGCAGCTGAAAGTGGTCTTATCACAAGTCTGAGCAGATTCCTCAGGCCAATTAAAAAATGCGCACACACATGTCCACACAGTCCCCCAAACCCCCAGGACCCAGTGATCCTGGCCAGCCCACCCCTAGGATTGGGGGGGGGCGCTGTACTTTTTTCTTTCCAGCCCTTGACCCAGTGACCCAGATCTCAGCTGGCCATGTTTCTTCACTTTGCTTCTGGCCCCTCCACTTGTGCGCATCTGGGAATGGGGTGGGGGTGTCTCTCAGTGCTGAAGAGGGGACCAAGTAACTCAGCTTCCTCTGCCACAGAGAAGTCCCAACGGGTGGAGAGTAAAGCGAGACGAGAAGACAGAAGCCCCGAGCCAGGTTTTTCGGTATGCAAGTGTTTTTGACTCCACAGCCTGTTTCAAAACATCACAGGCAGCCAGAATACACACCCCAATGTGCAAAAGGAAAGGCAAAGAGAAAAAGAAGCCACACACAATACCACGACCCAGACAAAAGCAGAAAGTCCAAATGCAAAACCCCTCAACTTTATAGAGATTTTTCTTTTGTTTTTGCTTTGTCCTGTTGTGGTTGGTTGATTGTTTTTGTCGGTTAAAAAAAAAAAAAGATAACTGCCCCAAACTAACTGGGCAGCACGTTGAGGCTTGGTGCAGTCCTATGAAAGGGGGTAGGTGCATCCTCCCCCAGGAACAAAGAACAAACACAATACAAAGAAAATCAGCACCCCTGCTCCCCACAAGCCCCTGCAAGACAGATTGTCTCATCCTCAAACTGGTTTGCTTTTTTTTTTTTTGGTTTTTTTTTTTTTTTTGGTTGTTGTTACGCTACCTCCCCACCACCATTTTCTTCTTCTTCTTTGTTGTTTTTAGCACCTGTACAATAAAACCGTACCACCTCTGACCACAGTCGGAGGCCGTCTCTCCTTTGGATGGCACGCACGCTCTACAAGGATTGTTTGGAAAAATAGCACATTGGTAGAAAAATAAGAACAAGAGTGGGAAAGCCACCGCCACAGAGGGGGCGGGGATGGGGGTAAGCGGCCAAGCTCCTCCCTCACGCGCTCGCTCGAGCTGGCTCGCTCCCGCCCCCCTCCTTCCTCCCTCGCCCCTCAACAAGCCCAATGCTGGAGGCCTAAGGCCTAAGCTCAGCTCCAGGCCTGCGCGCGGGAGTGGAGCCCTGCACTGGAGACGAGTCTCTCTGGGCTAGAAAACAGCTGGCAGGCAGTCTGGGGCCCTCTGCAGACTCCAAAGGCGGCTGGGGGCCGGAAGAGAGAGGACAGGGCACGTGTGGGAAGGGCTGAGGGCTGGGTGCAGAACAGCTCTGAATCTAGCCAGGGGGTCAGGCCAGCACCGGGTGGGGTGGGAACCAGCCCAGGGGAGGGGGGGCGAAGAGGGGGCACCTCACCCATCAGACCCATTCTCTGCTCTTCCTTTATTAGAGTGATCCATTAACCTCTTGCCCCACCGTCCTCCCTGCCCCCACAGTAAACAGTCTCAGGGTAGCAGGGAGGAGGGGGAGGAAAGAAGAACAACTGTGGGGGGAGCACCAAATCCTGACCCCCCCCCTCCACCCCGGCCTGGGCCAGCACCAACTAGCTTCATTCACCCTCCGTGTCCTTCCCCCCTCCAAGTCACTTTGTCAGGGGCAGGGAGCGGCTGCAGAGGAACAGAAAGGGGGTGAAGAAAGTCCCTCAACACAACAAGTTGTCTCAAATCGTCACAGTGATACAGACTTATCAGAAACCAATGCAACAATACAAATTAAATACTAATAAAATAAATACTATGAAAGACAGAAGAACACAGGGGAACAGAGTGGGGAGCACTCAGAGATTTGGGCTTTTCTCCTTTCTCCTCGGGTCATGGGCACGGCCCCCTCAGGGCCCAGGTTTGGTCTTGGTCAGACACTTAGATGGAGGCCAGTCCAGAGGACCCTGGTGTGGCCTCTTCCCACCACTCCTGGGACTTCTTGTCCTCAGAGGCGGGGTTCAACTTTCTACCCCCATCACCAACCACGACGACAATAACGATAACACAGAGAGAGAGGAGAGCTAACTGTAACCCCACCCTCCCCAAAAAATCCAGTCACTAATGCTGGCATTGGATAAGGCGGCTTCTTGTTGGTCCATATTATTGCCTCATTCTGCAGTCTGGTGCTCAGTGGGGGGGGAGACATGGGAGGCAGGGGAAGGGCAGACTCAGGAGGAGAAAGAAAAGGGGGGCGCATTTCCCCGTCAACTGCTCCAAGGCTGGAACTCCACCTCAGACCCCAGGAGCCTCAGCAGTTCAGGCTCATAGCGCACCAGCTCCACAGTCTCAGAGGAGCCTGGTGGAGACCTGTCCTCCGGGCCTCCGGGCCTCTCAGCAGGGGTCAGCAGCTGACTGGAGGCCACCTGCCGGTAGAACTCTGCCTTGGGCAAGGTGGCGATTTCAAAGTGCGGGAATCGAGCCTGAAAGATCCGAGAGGAGAGCTTCAGTCTCTTCAGGACGTCGGTAAAGAGGAACCAGTTGCAGGGCCTGGAAAATGCAAGAGGGAGAGTTAGGGGAGGGGGCTGGAGGCCACTGGACTCCTGTCTGAGAGGTGGGCTTGAACGGCCCACTTCCAGTTAGCAGCCAGGCACTAGAACCACCACACTACCAGGGTTCCTCCTTGGCCGTGTCTGGGATGAATACAGTCCCCTGTACCCTTCACCACAGGGCCTAGCTTTTGCAAAACTGGTGAGCACTTGACCCAGGACCGACCTGTTCCAAAGACAGGGAGAGGAAGGGCAATGTGCACTTGGCACGAACCTTCCAGAACTGAACTTTCCACAGGTTTCCCTGGGACATGGATTGCAGCCCCTGACCTGGGGATGACCAGAATCTGCTGGTACTCCACGCCCCCCTAGCCCACTGGTTTCCCTTTCCTGGTCTTCTTGCTCCTGTCTGCTTGTTCACCTCAATCTTCCCCAGCAGAGGGGAGCCGTGGAGAAAGGTCTCAACTGCGGGTAATCCAAAAGGCATTTCTCTTTGGCTCTGGAATGCATTAGACAAGTTCTTTCTCCAGCAGCGGGCGGCAGGAGAAGGCAGCATCGGGGCTGTTCGTGCAGGTCCGAGCTCACGTTACAGGCCCGCTTTGCTGAGTGGACCCGACTGGACTCGGGCAACAGCCCGGGGACAGCTCAGAGGGGCGCCTGGGAGGCCGCGCAGGGGCCCAGTGCTGGCACTGGTAAACCGAGAGGGGCGGTGGAGGGACGCTGCATCCCGTGCCAGCAGTCCCTGTTTCCAGGATTTGTTTCTCGTATCCCACTGTCACAGTTGCAGCTGCTGCCAGGACCGGATTGCATCAGCCTCTGTACTGGTTTGTTTCCCTCTGCCAAAAGCCACCCTTCTGCACCCCAGCCACCAGGATCCAACCCATGTTACGACTAGTTTCTTCAAAGGAGAATATGACCCTCTCTCTCCCTCCCTCAACAGCATTTAATGGCTCACCAGTGCCTCCAGAAAAACTCCAAATTCTCTAGCCAAATATTACACAAGGACTTCCAAATGTGAGTCTGTCTATTGAACCTCTCCAGTCCAATATCTCTGTGTCTATCTGTGTCTCTCTCTCTCTGTGTCTCTCTCTGTCTCACACACACACATAGACACACACGCTCTCACTGTCCCCCTCCCCCACCAAGTGCCAGGCATCTGATTCACTACTTTTGTATACCCTACACTCATATGCTGCAGTGCCTTTGCCCATGCCATGCTCTTCTGGTCTCTCTTTACTGACCTAGCTCAGATAACCGATCTCCCACGAACCCTTCCCCCAGGAACTTCACTCTGTCATTTATGGTCTCATTGCACTTGGTTCACAGCCCTACTGCCTACCTATCATTTCTGCAAGGCTATAACAAACACTTAAATTTTGGTTCTCTCTGCAGTACATGAACATGAACTTGGGGTAAAGCAGTCTTTTCTTTTTCACTCAATACCCTTCCGAACTGTTTTTGCAAAATGAGCATGTAATATTATTCTCCTAACAAACCTAAAAACTTGGAACATTTTGCCTTTTCTTCTAGTTATTCGTGTCCTTGTCTATCTCCTCCCTTAGATCTATAAAGGCCGGAGCAGCAGCCTGGTCATTCAGGTTTGACCTGGTCCAGCTGCTTGTGACATGTTTATGGAATGGAACTCCCCACACAACATTGAAAACGTCTCCTCAGACCCACAATCCTTTGCTTTAAAATGCAACACCTCTCCCAAATGACAGCAACCTCTGTCTTCTCAAACAATCAGGGAATGGAGTGTTCTGGGTTAAGAGAATGGAATCATCAATACCAGCCATTTGGATCACCTCTTTCAAAGCATTGGGGTGGGGGGGAGAGAGAGAGAGAGAGAGAAAAGAGAAACTCCAGAACACAGACGCAGATGATCAGAACTCAGTCTTGCTTTGATGATTCAGAAGGTACTTCTGAACCCCACAGGGCTCCCGAGGCCCCATTCTACAGCCTCCCCCCTTGAAGAACATCCATTTTTCACATTGTGCTGCAGCTGTGGAGAAGGACAGCTTCAGAATAAACTGTCACATCAGGAAAACCCGCAAATGCGCTCTGCAAGTCAGCCCTGCAGGCATGCTTGCTGGGTGGCACACAGCCCTGGGTTGCCCCATGTTTTGCCAGTACCTAAAGCAGGCTCCCCCGCTCTTCTGTCTGCCCAGGCCCAAGATCCTGTTTCAGAGAAGGCGCTGCTGAATACTCTGGAGGAATTAATTAACTGTGCAATACTATATCCCAGAGGCCCTCCCCTGCCCACAGGATCAGCTTATGCCCAGAAGAATAAGGACCAAAAGCCCCTGAAACTTGACCCCGACTCATGTCATCATATCGGCTATTTTTATTCTTATCAGGCTAGGGGGAAGGGAGGGATGCAAAGACATCATGGTCCAGTTGGTAGCGGTGTAAGCTGTGGTCTTGTCTCCCACCGTCCCCCCTCCTCATGTGCCCTTCCTTCATGACATCTCACTTCAAAAAAACAATAGGATCGGATCAGTTTTTCACTAGACATCAAAGAAATATCTTGCCTACAGTTGTATGCAAGGATACTTAAAAGAGGCAAACACGCAAGTCAGAAGACAATACCTCATAAATGAGGCAAAGAACAAAGGGACCATGGGTGCCAACATCTTTTTCACCATTGGCATGATAAAAACTGACCAGAAGCACAGCCCTGCAGGCAGTCCAACACCCTTTTGGATGGTCCAAGGGAAATTAAACTGGGTTTGGAGTCCTGAGATGTGCCCTGTACAGAGCCCCTGAAAATGAGTGACACGGTTAACTGGAGAGATGACAGCCCTGATGCCACCATCTCTCCAACACTGAGGCTATGTGAAAGCAGGCTGTGGATTACTCAGACACTCAAAAGGCCCCAAAGCTATGGCAACCATATGGCCCAGCTTTTTCCAAGAATCTCAATTTCAAATATTCTGTCTAGCTGTCCCCAGAAATCACAGAACCCTTCTAAAGATTCTAATAATTTCAATAGCCAAATATCTCCCAGATCATCTCTTACACCTAGGAAAAGCACAAAAGACACGCTGAGAGTGAATCTCAATGTTCAGATCAGGGAGTGCACACACACTCAGTCTATTGTGAAGGTGAGGCATTGGAGCGCAAAGTCCGTGCTCCTTCTCCAGGTCACCACCTTCCTCCTGGAGAACTCCACCCTTCCCAGGGAGATGGGCCAGAGGTTGCCAGGATCCGCGCCCCCCATTCCCTGCCGATTTCTCAGACGCTTACCCTCGGGACACCGACACTTGAAGGTTGTAGCAAGGGAGAAGAGGCTTGTCAGAGAGCTCAAACATGAAGTCATCCTCCTCCATGTCGTCTCCTTCTTGATCAGAGCTCCCAGGGGGATTGTGCAGGAGGTCACAGGCAAACCCGTCTTTTTTCTCTGCAAGGAGAACACACTGGGAATTAGAACTCAAGTGTCCTGGAAAGGGGAAAAAGGCAACAATGAGCTACCAAGTAACAAGGCCACAGACCCTTGGTCAGGGTGAAGTTTCCCTGATGAATGTTCTGGGCTTGGAAACAAGCTATTTTATAGTGCTCGGTTTACTGCCCTTGAGCCAGAACTGACTCACCGCTGACCTTCCAGTAACTTTCTGAGGCTGTAAATTGCATGGAGGAGATTGCTCATCTCCGGCGGAGGGAGCGTCGTTATACATCGATAAACAAGAAGTGGGTTTCTGTTGAAGATGGAAGCCCAAGAGAGCCAGAGGGAAATGGCAGCTGCTAGATGAGGGGTAGGGTCTTTCTTGCGTGTACAAAACAAAAGAGGTGGCAATGCTTCTAGGGGGCTTCTGTCAGGGCTATGGCAAAGCCAGGGGGAGGTGTGGGTGAGGGGGACCTTAAAGAGAGAAGTGAGAAAAATGCCCAGGGTACAAAGCTAATGAAGGATGCTTTGTCCAATCACTGTTGTGTCCCCTGGTTTAGATAAGTGAGCTCTGCCCCTGTGGAAAGGATGGGGTAGGGCCTTGGCTAACAGAGCAAACTACAGTACTACAAGGGCTACAAGGTACTACAAGGGCTGCTCCTATTCTTTGAGAAGAATCAGTAAAACCCAAGCCAAATCCCACATTTCTGAGTCAAAGTTGGCAAGAAAACGGATTGAAGCTTACCCAACACAGAACTGCTATAGAAGTCCCAGGAGACTCCAGGATCACCCTCTGCCCGGCCTTGGAGATCCAGTAGGTGGTCTGATGAAGGAAGAGAAAGGCATGAAACTGAGAGGCTGGGCTGGGAATCTAGAGGCAATATGGACCCATTTTGGGGGATGGGGTGCTCAGAGAAGGACAGGAAGGACCACAAACAAGAGAAACATGCGTCCTGCTTTCAACCAGCGGCTGCAAACCAGCAGCCGGGAGCCCGATCTAGTCCACTGACCATTTTGGGGTTTAGCTCAGTGTCTTAATTTAACTTCCCACATTTGAAAACTGAGAGGTTTCACATTTTTTTTTAAAAAAAAATCCAGAATCATAATCTACCTTCTCCCTTCTCTCCCATCCCTGGCAACCATTAATAAAGTTTAGGTTCTGTTAAAAAAAATAAAAATCCAGATATCCAACTTTTCTCGGAAAACAAAACAAAAAATCCGAAGATCTGGAAGCGCTCTGTCCACATTCCTGCATGTCAACAGTTGGCTGGGGAACTGGGGAGAGGTGACATGCCCTGTTTCTTCGCCCAGCCTCATCCAGCATTGCCTCTCTTCCTGAAGGAGCCTGAGGGTCATTTAAGATCTGTGGTCCCACCTCTAAATGGTGCAGGAACTACTCTGCCAGCAGAATTTCAGGCGTGGCCCAGGTTTTGACTCTACAACACTCACCTGTCTGCCTGTGGTAGGGAGTTGGGATGCCAACCCAAACGTGGGCGATTTGAATCCACCTGCTCGTCTGAGGGAGTAAATAGGCAATCTCCTCTCGTGTGATTTACAGCTTCTGAAAGTCCTCTGGATGGTCGGCCATGATTGGATGGCGATGAGTTATGGATGGGGGGCGGGAACCCCAAACCAACCAAACCCACTACTGCTCAGTCATTTTGACTCATGACGACTCTCCATTGGGTTTATGAGGCTGTAACTCTTAACGGCAAGAGACGGCTCATCTTTGTCCAGTGAAATGGCCGATGGATTCTGGTTAGCAACCTAAGTGCGCATAATTCTTTTGCTGTTATTAAGTGCCACAGAGTTAGAACCAACTCACAGCTGACTCTCCAGTGGGTTTTCATAGACTGTAAACTGTATGGGAGACAAATGCCCATCTATCTCCCACTGAGCAGCTATGAGATTCAAACAGCCTACCTTCAGGTTGGCAGCACAACTCTTGACCCAGTAGACCACCAGAGCACCTATTTTATTTTCTTTGGAAAATAGGGAGAGAATGGCCAGCTTTATCCTCATAAAAATCTTTTACTTCTTCTCTCAGGTACAGACCCCAAAGAACCCAAAGTGGATGTTCAAAGAAAAACTTAGATGCCAGTCAGTGATCACTGCAGCCCTGTTCATAACAGCCTATGGAGGAAACAGCCCCAGTGTTCCTTAACACTAGACTAGAAACCAAAACATACATACAATGCAGACAGGGGCCATAAAAAGGGCTAAAGTACCCAAATGTGCCACCACAGGGCCAAAGAGCCTTGAAAACATCACAGGATGTGAAGGAAGCCAGACACAAAAGGCCAAGCATGGTGGGATCCCATTTGTTTGAGACATCGAGAGCAGGTAAATCCATTGAGACAGAGAGGAGACGGGTGGCTGCCAGAGGCCTGGGGTGGGGGGGGGACGGAAAATGACTAATGGGTATATGGTTTCCTTCTGGGGCGACAGATAGTTCGAGAACTACACCCATGTGAAGGTTGCACAACACTGTCAAGTCTACTAAACGCCATCCAACTGTACACTCTGAAGGGATTGGATTGCAATCGTTAAGTTTTATGATGTTTATACATTTCGCTATGAAGACAAAACAAAAAAGGTTCTGCTGCTTACATGAGAAGAAGACAAACACCACCAGCTTCTGGGTGGCCTGGCTGAGCGGCCACCATCTAGCGGAACCAGTTCAGCTGGCAGCCTCATGAGGACCAGCAAGCAGGTCCATTGGCTTTTAGGACACATCCAACAGGAGCCAAGAGGCCACCCAGTACAACGGACAAGTTGAGATGACGGTCACGAGTGCTCAAGTGACACCTGGGTGATACGCCAGCAGAGAATCCAAGTGGGCACAGGGGAGATCAGGGTGCCCACTGAACCCCACACCCCAAGAAAGCACTGTATAGCTTCTCTTTGGGGCATGCATCCTATAAACAAGAGTACCAATCAACTGTGGAGAGTGACTGAAATAACCCATTTTAAAAAGCGACCTTCTAGGAGATGAAGGGTTTCTCCCGGTAGGAAAAGGCAGCCGGGGAGAAATGTTCCAAGTAATAGCCGAGCACCCAGAGTAGAAGATCCTTTGTGTATTTTTTCATGGGGTTGGGGGGAAGAAAAAACAGCTTCTCGTTTAAGGTCACGGCTGCGAGTTCCTGAGCTTTTCTGTAACCTGTGCCACTGGAGAGCTAGAAGCAGCCTCCTCCAGAAGCAGACGAAGGTTAAGGACACATCGATTCTCTGTGGCTAATCCTGAGCAGTGTGTCACTGGCGGTGATGGGATGACTATTAGTTTCACAAGAGGAGGCGTCCCCCAGTACCTAAGCCAAGTGCCCACTGCAGCAATAAAAGTTTAGTAAATATCAGGGGGAAAGAAGAAGAAAAGGAATGGCAGAATCCAATGTAGGGCTGAGGGGTGAAACTAGAAGAAAGTGTCATGCTTGCCCGAACAGGCGCACCTGAATAACCAGTGTCCCCCACCAAAGAAGTCACATAAAGATTTCATCACAGCGGCCCTGGTTTGCCACGTTTCTGGGGCTCCTTTTTTTAAAAATTTTTATTATTTTTGTGTGAGTGTACCGTCAAATCAGATCTGACTGGTACAGGAGGAGATTGTCCCTCCGTCCCTGGCAGAGCATCTGGAGGATTTGAACCATGCGCCTCTGGGATTGTAGTTGCAGCTCCTTGCCACTAGGCCACCAGAGCTCCCCCTGGGGCTCCTTTTTTAAAGAAAAGAAAAAATTATTTTCTATTGGTTTGCATACAAATTTTGTATCCATTGTTCTTCACACCTTCTCCCCCACCCCCGCCCCCACAGCACATTCCTCAAATTCTCTTTACTGGATTAAACTCTCCATCACTTGCAGGAGAATCCGCCATCCCGCTAAGACAACCAGAAGCTAATTGGCCCGAGCAAAGATGCTCAAGCTGAAGCAGGACTACACGTGAGCTCACCAAGACCTGCCTGGTGCTGGGGCTTCCGCTCCCATTTCCTCACCGATATTCACAAATAACAAGGATCAAGACCAACTTTTCTTCTCCTTGACTCTCCATGTCCCCTACTTCCCCCCTAAAAAACCCCTCTTTGTCTCTCAAGCCTTTCCTCTTTTCACAAAGGAATCCCACTCCTAGCTAGGCACAAATCCCAAAGAACTGGAAGCAGGGATTAAAGCAGGTACTTGTATACCTACCACTGCTTCAACATGGATCGACTCATTTGAAAATTCCATTGCTCTCAAGTCTGAACTGCCTCGGAGCTGACCCTCCAGTGGGTTTTCTGAGGCTGTAAATGACACTGTGGAGGAGACTGCCCACCATTCTCCCACAGAGCAACTGGGAGAGTTGAACTGCCAGAGTTCTCCTTTGTATTAGCAGTACAAATGCCTACAGACGGTGGGTGCCACAAGACGTCCCTTCACCACAGATGGGCCTGAAAACATCGTGTTCGGTGAAATCAGTCAAATCTCTAGAACAGGAAGTCCATCGAGACAGAAAGCAGATTAGAGCTGAGATTAGGTTTACGGAGAGGAGAAAAGCGGGGGGCCTATTCCTTATGGCGTACAGGGGTGAGCTCTATAGGGGTGATAAAAAATATCTGGGAACTAGCTGGTGGTGATGACTATGGAACATGGTGAAGGCAATTATATATATAATATGACAATCTTACAAGTAAGAGAAACACAACAACATACTCACTAGGTTGGCTATAATAAAAAAGACCGACAACACAGTGTTGGTGAGGATGGGGAGAATCGGCAACTCTCATGCACTGCTGGGGGGAATGAAAACGGTGCTGTGTCACTGGACAACGGTCTGTTGGGTACTCAGATGGTTAAACAGAGAAATATCGTATGACTCAGCAATTCCACTCCTAGGTAGAGACCCAAGAGAAACTGAAATAGGGACACATTTTAGCAGCTGAAAAAGTGGAAACAATCTCAGACCTCTAATAGTGGATATTTGTTGCTGCCAAGTGACTTATATTGACCTGCCCAGCAGGTTTTCAAAGGCAGTAAATCACATGGGAGAAGAAAGCCCACCCTTCTCCCATGGAGCAACCAGTGGATTTGAGCCTCATGCCTTAACAGATAAAGGTAAACAAAATGGGGTCTATCCATTCCCTGGGCATACACAGGAATGACAGACTGACAGGAATGACAGACTGGCAGGAATGGACCCGGAAAACATCATGCCAAGTGCAGTAAGCCAGTCACAAAGTTATATAATCCTGTGCTTCTGACATACCTACAATAGTTAAAGATACAGAAGCAGGAAGTAGATTCATGGTTTCCAAGGGTTAGGGGGAGGAGGAACAGTGGGGGGGGGGCGGGGAAGTTCAGGTACTAAATGTTCACTTTAAAAATGGTGAATTTCATGTTATGTGAATGTCATCTCAATTTTTTTTTTAAAAAAAGGATACTTTTCTAGTGGCTTAGTGGTAGATAAGAAGCTGTGCTGGAACCCTGAAGGCATGCAGTTCGAATCCACCAGCTGCTCCATGGGAGAAAGATGGGCAATCTCCTCATGTGTGATTAATTATCTCTGAAAACCCACTGGAGGGTCAGCTATGAGTTGGTTCCAACTCGACAGTACACCATAGAAACAACCACTATCGGGGAATTCATTGTGAACACTGAGCCTCTCCACAGTCACTAAGGTGTGGTACACAGTAAACAGAGTGTCCTAAACAGTGTCCCTACTTCCCAGGGTCTTCCCTCCAACCATCACTGTGAAAGGTCTCAGATCAACTCAAAGTCAACTTCTGGCCATTAAGTCTGACTCGACTCTTAGCAAACCCTCTAGTGGATTTTCAGAGGGTGTAAATTGCACGAGAGGTGATTGCTCATCCTTCTCTCCTGGTGGATTTGAACTGCTTGCCTTTGGGTTGACAGCGCAGTTCCTTGCCAAGAGGACACCAGAGATCTCTGCTATGGGACACTGCATAGGGCTGCCATGAGTCACAGTTGATGAGAGGGCATCTAACATCCACCTTCAACTAAGCCACCAGCTGAGGGGCATGGAAGGAGAAACGAAGGTGTCGTCTTGGACATGGTGACATGTGGCTGAGATCTCTGGGAGGAAAGACAGAAACCTGCGAGGCCGAGGTCTTGTGTGTAAACTGCTTACCCTTTCATCACTGGAAGGAAACATGGCCCCAGTATTTCATGTTAAGCCTCAAATCCAGCTTTACAGCAGAGGAGGGGAAAGGGGGCCATTTTCCTTAGATTAGCTAGGATACCACTCTTTTCTCAGAGGGTCAAAGGGAAACCAGTCATGTGCCAGCCTGGGATTTGGCCTGAGGGAGAGGTCTTCCAAAGGCTGCTCCAAGGGTGGCCACTGGGTGCTCTCAAACCCAGTAGGTAAATAAATGATGTGCATGAATGGGTGAATGACAGAAGGGAGGGTCAATGAATGAATGCCACATCATCCTGGAGAAATGCTTCACTTTAAGTGAACCCAACACAAGACAATCTCCATTTATAATCAGGGTAATTAGCAGCATCTTCTGCTTTACAAAGGCTTCACTCCAGGATGCCTAGGAACAGTGACACCCTTTTGTGTATTTAAAAGAGGGTTTGGTTCTCCCAGACTTCCAGAAGCTGTGCACACAGCCAGAGTAGCACAGAAAATGCACCCTCAGAACTCCATGGAGAGCTGCCTTCATTCCCTGCCCGATGGGATCGCCCCTGGAGGAGCAGGATGTCTTCCAGCAAAGGTTTGGTCCATCACATGCTTGGGATGAAATGGGAAAAGCTTTTAAAGGACCTCAGCCAGGCAAGCATGACAGCAAAACCAAAACAAAGTGCAGAAACCCAGGCAAGTATGCTTAGGAGTCAGGTTCACAAGGTGCGGTGATGGAGAAAAAGGGGTTCTGACCTCTAAGCATGCCTCTTGTAGCCACTACACCACCATACCCACTTTGTATGTGAAAGACAAGAATAAAAAGGAGGGGAGCAATGGGTTCAAGACAGCTATAGTGGCTTAGTGGTAAGGAATTGTGCTGCCAACCCAGAGGTTTATGGTTCGAGTCTACCAGCAGCTCCATGGGAGAAAGCTGGGCAGTCTCCTCCCATGCCACTTACGGCCTCTGAAAACCTGCTGGAGACTCAGCTATGAGTCACTTCTGACTCGACAGTATGCAGCAAACCCAATGAATCCACGGCATAAAAACCGACCCTGAGTACTGTCCCTTCATCTCCCCAGACCACCTGTGGGGGACAGTTCCGTCTCCCCAGAGCTGGCTAACTCCTCCCAGTGCCTGTGTCCCTGGAGCATGGGGTCATGGTCTGGCTTCCTAGTACCTTCCCTCAGCAGCCAGCCACAGCTCTGCCTTGATTAAAAACCAAACAAAAGACAGCTGCCAACTCTGATTCACGGGGACCCCATGTGTCAGAACAGGACTGTGTTCCACTGGGTTTTCAGAAGTAATCTGCCAGGCCTTTCTTCCAAGGCACCTCTGTGGGGAACTTGAGCCCAGGAAGCAGCTGAGCACGTTGGTCAATTACACCACCCAGGGACCCCTCTGCCTTTAACTCTCAACTGGTATTTGCACAGAGAAGAGCGAACATCTCTTTCAGGCACTGATTGTTAAACTACAAGCTCCATGCCCATAAAGCAGAGAAACAATGGCAAGCCTTCCCTTTACTCTGGAGTCTTTGGCTGGGCCAAAATGGTCCACACAGAGGCGCCAACAGCAGCAAAAAAATCAACCATGGAGGCCGGGTCTGCTCTGACACACACAGGGTCACCAGCGTTATCTCAAACACAAGTGGTGTCTAGGTCTCCCCACTAGCCAGCAGTTGACTGACAGTGGAGATTAGTTAAGGACAGATTCAAAGGCTGGCTGGGGGTTGGGCTAAGTTAACAAGAAATAAGGAAGAGAAAAGGTGTTTCTGTGTAAGTTAATGCCCCCAAATAGAATTGTGACGAGGAGGACAGGGAAGCAAACAGTTAATGTGCTTACTAAGATAGTCAGAAAGAGCTTTATTTGGACCCAGAGTAGCTTAAGACCACAGGACAGCGATGAGATGCCTGGATTGGACCAGTTTTTCAAAGACAGCTTCCCTCGGTGCTTCTGTCTGACAGAGACACTCTAGGGGCTCTTTTTTTTTTTTGCCATATTTTACTGAGAATCAAGTCAGGTGTAGACAACAATAAGTGTTTGGCTGTAAGAAAGAGCGTGGACGTGCAGCTGGCATGTGGGAGAGACAGAAAAAGGCAGCCCTGCTGTGCCTCCCCAGGCCCCAGCAGTCGGGTCACTAGAGGAGTTAGTGGCCCAGGACAGATAACTGCCTACAGCTGCTCTGTCCTTGAAGGACAGAGGTCAGGAAAGCTAGAGGTGAGGGCAGGAACAGGAAAAGGAGACGCTCAGCAGGCTGGGAAGGCCTGAGGGCTGTCTACTGGTCTCTGGGGCTTACTGGGACAGAGGTGCAGGGCAAGAGAACAAGTCTTTCCTCTGGTGCTCATGAGCACGTAGCCACTCGCCTTGCATAGTCTTCTTTGCATCAAAACCTCGAGTTCTGGTTGAGTTTCCCACCCCCTTTCTCCATCATTACCTACTTAGTTATTAACCTTTGTTCAATAAACAAATGAACCCCTGGTTGAGCGCCCAGAATTCTATCTCTGAGGAGCGTGGGCTTGGGACTGACTGGGGCCAAAGAAGGAGTGGTCTTGGCCAAATCCTGATAGCTCGCTCAATTCCAGAGGTTCCTTCCTACCACAGATCCTGAGGCTTCCCAGGAAGACCAGAGGCTCCATGCCACTCCCCACTGCTCTGTGGCTCAAGCAGGCAGGAGCGACTGCTAGAACAAGGGCGAAGCTGTGATGTCACAAAGAAAATGAACGGCATTTTTGTGAGTTGGTTGATTGTTTTGTTGTTGTTGTTGTTGTTTTTAAATCAGAGGTCAAATTTGAGGAGATTTCCTACTGAGCATGCCCAAGCGAGACTCCCCTGCTTGCCTCGGCTCCCCTGTCCAACTCAGACAAACAGCTGCTATCCGCTAATGAGAAAATAAATGTATGTTGCCTTATGGCCCTTACCACGGGCTTGGGCATCAGACACTTTTCTGAAGGAGGTAAGTGAGGGAGGAACAGAAGTGAAGGGAGAGGAGAGGGATGTCAGGATGCAAAGGGAAGTTGAGGTTAACACAGCAAGGGCTGTGAGGAGTAACCCCGAGGGCTGCCCTCTGATCACAGACCACAAACAAAGTGCCCAGACGAAAGCCAAATGCTAAATGCCGCTTGCTTGCAACTCCCGTTTCCCTCACAGCGCTGGTTAGTGTATTTGGCCCTAAACTCATCCAGCCATGGGGCTTATTCTGCGAGGAGACCCCTCCCAGATACAGAGATGTGAAACAGGTCCCCAGGACCACTGAGTCCCTGCCATGTGCGTGCCACATGGCTGCTTTTAGCCAGGGGGCAAGAGGAAGTGGATCTAGGGGCTTTTTCAAGTGCTCTGGTGGCCTAGTGGCAAGAAGCTGCACTGGGTTTGTCCTGGAGAGGGTAAAGCCGGGCTGCTCCTTGGAGGCAAGGATTCTGAAGCTTCGTCTGACATACTTTGGACATGTTGCAAGGAGGGACAGGTCCTCGGAGAGGGACATCATGCTTGGTAGGGTGGAGGGACAGCGCAGGAGGGGAAGACCCTCGATGAGGTGGATTGATTCAGTAACTGGGCTAATGGGGGTAGGTGTGTCAGAGATAGTGAGATTGGCACAGGATAGAGCAGAGTTTAGGGCTGTTGTACATAGGGTCGCTATGAGTCACAGGCGACTCGACAGCACTTAACAACAGTAAGAGAAACTTCTGAGACACCAGAAGGAAGGAAAGCCAGTGAAGATGGCTGATGCCAGGTAGGAGCCCGGGACTGGCATCGGGACTGGCAGCTTTGACACCGAGCCCTGCTTACCACTGAGGAAGCGCTTCATGGTGACACTGCTGGCCAGCTTCATGGCCGTCTGCCCCGAGTAGGTGGCCAGAGTGGGGTCGGCCCCGTAGGACAGCAGGAGCCAAATGGTTTCCAGGTTGTCGTTGACCACCGCATCATGAACGGGCCTGTGGGGGCAATACAGGGTGAGGACGACAGAACCCAAGCGAGACCCACTGTCTAGGCCACTTCGTCAGGGAGATGTGGCAGAAGGATGAGCATTCGTCTCCCGGGCCATGATGGGTCAGCTCTATAGTGGTTCCAACTTGACGCCACACAACAACAACATCAGAGAAAGGGGAATGGATTCAAGTGTAAAGTTCCTAAGGCTCAGGGTGGGAGGCATCTCTGCACCCCTCTTCTTCTCTCCACACCTCCACCCCGTTCCTCTGCATCCCCCCCTCTTTCGTCCACTCTGTGTCCTGCCTTTCTCTGGGGCAGTCTCTGGGATACGGTGTAGCTCCATGGGGGTTCTAAAGAGCGTGCATCCTTGACTGTGAACAGAGTTAAGGAAGATGCTGGAAGGCGAGGGCGGGGGGGGGTGGGGGTGGGCTTTGAACTTAAGGAACCAGACAGCCCCCAGGAGCAGGGATGAGCAGAGCATCACAGCCGCCCCCCACTTGGAACACAGCCCCTGTCTCCACTTTGCCCAGCCAGCCGGCCCTCCGCAGAGGAGGATGGGCTCAATTGCTTTAAGACACAGCAGGTTAAAAATAAAAAAATCTGAAACGTGACCCTCAGGTCAGTCTCCTTGTTAGCTCCTGAAGCCCAAGATCCTTTTCTGAGACCGGAGCTCCCCTGGGGTGATTTGCAGGAAGTCTGCGTGGCCTTCTCTGGAGGCAGCTAGCTGCCTGGGAGGGGATGAGTCCCAGACAAAGCCACCTACCACCCAGTAACCAGGATGGACTCCGTGACCTTTGCCTTACACTCCCTTCGGTCTGGTCTATAGATGTCTGTCAGAAACACCTCCTGACAAAGGCCCTGCAAGCTGTCAAGGTCCAGCCTGGGCCAGTCCTTTGGAGTGAGGGGCCCAGCTAGGTGGTGTGGGGGCCGGAGGGGGCTGCCTTGCCTGGTGCCATCCTGTGCGCTGCAGTTCACGTTGGCTCCGTGCTCCAGCAGGATGTTGAGGATGTCGGTCCAGCCCCGGGAGCAGGCCTCGTGCAGGGCCGTGTAGCCTGCGTTGTCACGGTGGTTGACATCCTCACTGTCCTTCTGCAGGCAGTACAGAACCACGTCCTGTTGGAGACAAGGACAGGGGCCCTGTGACCAGAGAGTTCTCATTCTTGAAATGGCCTTAGTGTGAGTCAAAGCTCCACAGAGAGAGGCTGGCCTTCAGTGTGGGGACTGACAAGAAACGTCAAGATTTCTTGTCAGCGAAGCCAGTCCTGAGCCACACTCTCCAGTGCCTCAGCCCTTGGCTTGTTTCCTTGGCAGGGGGAAGACACTTCTTGAGTCCTTGGAGACACTCGCCTGCTGGGCCTGAACCCAAGTCCCAAGACCTCGACTCCCTAAATCTGGGGCTTTCAGGCACAGCACACTAGTGGGACTTTAAGAACAAGGGCTAGGGTAGTCACATGTGTGCCCGTGGGGGAAGAGGGGTGCTGTTGTTCCCTAGAAAAGCACCCCATTTCCTGCTTTGTGATGTAGATGGTGGCTTCTCCCCACAGTCCTCTCAGATCAGGCCTCCGATCCTCTGGCAGGCTTTCCCGCCTGATGCCCCTGGCCTGTTGGGACTTTCAGATGGTGACACGTTTGCTAGTTTTCCCCTGGTACGGAAGAACTGCCTGGAGGGTGGGGGCTGGCATAATTTCTTCTTCAGGACTCACCTAGACACTCAACAAAGATGAGTGGAACCGACTAGGGAAGCTGGCTCACGCTGTCTGCCTGGCTGGAAGCAGGGCTATCTAGAAACAAGTCAGTTATAGCTCTCAAAGGCCCTCAAAAAAGGAGGGCACACCCTGGAACCCAGCAACTCCACTGCTAAGGGCAAATCCTGGGGACACAGCACTGGGGTGGGCTGAGATCCATGTTCAAGTTTGCATAAATAAAAAGTGGGCAACAACAGCAATGTCCAACCACATCATTTCATTCTGGTCAATGAGTCAATCTTCCACTCCTCCCTCATCTCGTGGGAATGAATCCAACAGACTTTGGTCTGAATTCATGTGTGGATGTGCACACATATATGTGTATCTTTGTATATGTGTATGCATGTCCTCTGGTGGCACAATGAACAAAGCACGTGGCTGCGATTCAAAAGGTCAGCAGTGTGAACTTACCAGAAGCCCCACGGGAGACAGAGTTGGCAGCCTGCGTCAATAAGGAAACCCTATGGGTAGTAAGTACACTGTCCTACAGGACTGGTCCAAGCTAGAACTGGCTCCACTTTGGGTGCATGTAACAACCAATAGATATGTAACAACTTGGTGCTGCACTGATTCTGACTCACAGCAGGTCCGTGGATCAGATTCTCACCACCCCATGGGGTTTTCCGGCCTGTAATCTTCCTGTACTTCCTTCATATACACCTGCCGCTATGTGTCATCGAGATGTCTGAGTGTGTATTTCTGTATTCCAGTGGAGTTAATCCTGGAGAAAGTCAATTAACACTGTTGAACTCTAATATTCCCATCTGTAAGATGGGCATCGTCAAAGCTCCCTACCTCTCACAGATTTACTATGAGGATTACGTGATATCAAGACACTGAGGCTCTTGGCGTGACAAAGAGGTCTCAATAAGGCTCCGCTTCCTTCCTGCCTTCTTCCCAATGCCCAGGGAAGGAGTGTAAAGTGGTGCCAGCTTCGTCCTGTCCCTCACACTTCTTTCTGACCCTTCTGTACAAAGCCTCAATGGTGGTGGCAATAATTACCAACTCTCCCATCACTACCACCATTCCTCTGCTGAGAGGAACCCACGACACAGAAAATTCAAGACCATGTGATCAGCCACCAAGTTCACCTGCTCGGCCTGATCTAGGGCTTCACGCAATGCTGTTGTGTTACCGTGTAAATTGTGTTCCCCTCACACTGTCATTCCAATGGGCTTGCAGTCTCTCGCTCTCTCACATACACACCCTCAACACACACCCCAATCAGGCAACGGGACAGGCAGCCCCAGAGGAAGGCCACCCTGCGCATGACACAACCCCTCTGAGCCTCCCTTTCTTCCTGGCTGACTCAAGCCCTACTCAGAGCACCAAAGGCCCATTAGTGAGCCACTTCTCTGTAGGCACAGAGGACAACAGCATGCTGGGGTGGGGAGCCCCCTCACCTTATAGCCAAGACGGGCTGCCCGCTGCAGGAGGGTCTCCCCAGCATTTTTGTTCACGATGAGCCGGCGGGCTTCTGGGGGGATCTGTCGGGCTGTAGGAGACTCTGAGGTCTCCTCAAGGCTGGCACTTCGGGACTTGGAGGGTGTACATGGCTCCGTGGGCTTCGTTGGGGTGGGAGACTTTGAGGATCGGGTCTTCTGCTGGCTCCAACGACCTTTGCCCTGGAAGACACAGATGCAGCACCGGCTCAGGTCAGGCGACATGCCCTCGTGGTCACCTCACCCAGTGGTCACAGCGGTCTCATCTTCGTCTAGCTTGTGCCTGGCATACAATATTCCAAATGGCCCAGGTCACTGCCAGGTTGGAGGCTAGAGAGTGGGCTAGCCAGTAGCTGTTTGGAATATTCTAGAATCTGCATTGGTCCCCATCCATGCCTGTCCAGTAAGGGCAAGCAAAGAGGTGCAAATCCTCAACTCCACGAACCAAGAACAGGAGAAGGCTTGGGAAACCAGAGCAACTTACCGTCCCAGGTTTCCCCCAGGCTGCGCATGCCTGCTCTGTCTGTACCAATCCCCATGCATTGACATTTTTACAAGTTCTATCTAGAAATAAACTGAAGTAAACTCTGCGTAAATACAAGCCCTGGAGACAGTTAGGTGTGAGTGTCTTCACTGCCAGGGCACAGCTCCGTAAGCCGTCACTTTTGTGATAAACTGGTGGCCTAGTGAATTAAATAACTAGGCCTGCCAACTCAAAAGCGGGTAGCTCCAATCCTCCAGCTGCCCTGTGGCAGAAAGCTGTGCAAACCCCTCCTGTGCATTTACAGCCTCTGGAAACCAGCTGGAGGGTCAGCTATGCAATGATTCCAGCTCTACAGCGAAGAGCGAGTTTTGGGGTAAAAGCTGTCCCTCCACACCCATCCTCACCAGGCTTCTCTCCTCTTTCACCACGCCAGGCTCCCAGATGAGACTCATCCTCAGAGAAAGTGTCCTGGTGCAGGGTTGGGCCCAGGCTGGAATCCTGCCTTTGCTAAACTCACCGCAGAGCCTCACCGTCCTCCAGGCGGGGCCTTTGACACCAGACACTGAGACGGTTCCACCGGGGGTAGGTATGTGCCATCGAGTGGAAACCAACTCATAGCCGAGCCTCCAGCAGGGTTTTAGAGGCTGTAAATCACACACGCGAGGAGACTGCCCAGCCGGCTCCCATGGAGCAGCTGCTGGATTAGAGCCACCTGCCTTTGGGATGGCAACACGGCTGCTTACTCACCAGGCCATCAGAGCCCTCTAATACACATCTACCCTACATACGTCGTGTGGTGGCGGCGCTACGTTCTGTGTAGTCAGAACCAACACCCAGCTGACCCTTCAGCGAATTCTGAAAGGCAGTAAATTGCATGAGAGTCGACTGCTCATTTTTCTCCCACTGATATTTGAACTCTGTATCTGTGGGTTAGCAGTGCCAATTCCTTACCACCACAAATACATAGGGTAGGTGTTAAATAAGTGTCGAGTCCTTCCCTTAAGAGTGTCCTCGGCGGGTGTTGACCTCCCCTTTATGAACCGGACCATCCACAGCAGGTTCTCATGTCTGGGCCACCACCACACTTGGAGTTCCAGGGTCTCTGGGTCTCTGAGGAGCTGTTGCTTGAGTTTTACTCAAGGAACCAGAGCTGAAGAGTCTCATCTATGCTTGCACCTCCATGTGATGAGATTCTAGCCTTGGAGCTGAGGGATGAGACTTGGCGGGGGGTGGGGGAGCCTTGGAGGCGTAAGTATACTTTATGCATGTGAAGTATGTGAGTCACTGGGGCCCAGAGTGTGACCTGTGGGAACCAGCCCCAGATAAGCTCCTGTTGAACCCCACCTCCTGGTATTCATGTGGTCCCCTCCCACACTGGACCGAGATGACTTGTGTCGTCAAACAGGAGATTGCGGAAATGATGCGGTGTGACATGCAAAGCTAGGTCCTAAAAGACACTGGGGCTTCTGCCATGTCCTTTTTTAGAGTCATTTGCTCTGAGGGGAAGACAAGCTGTCACGTGGCGAGGAACTCAAACAGCCCTGGGAGAGATCCCCGAGGTAAGGAAAGGTGGCCTCCTGCCAATGACCAGCTTTGTGAGCGGCCTAGCTTGGATGTGGATGCCTTCAGCCCTGGTCAAACCTCCAGACCAATGTGGCGCTGGCTGAAATTTAGACCGCAACCTTGTGAGAGAGCCCAAGGCAGACCCACCCTGCTAAGCCGCTTCTGAATTCCTGACCCATGGAAACTGTTGCAGATAATACATGTTTACTGTTGTGTTAAGCCGCTACATTTTAAGTAATTTGTTACCCAGCAGCAGATAACTAATGCACCCCATTTATCTAAACCCCTCAGAGCATCCGGGTCTCACTGACGCCCTACATCTTCGCCAAGATTCTCCAACCCTCTGGTCCCGGTGCTGATTTTTCTCACCATACCCAGAGAACCCTGTCTGAGCCACGTACGCTATTGCTCGCTGCCTCACTTTGTATCTTTGCTTTATTCCTAACTTCCATTCATCATTTCAGGTGTAAATCTTGCCTCCCCAATTTGGCTTTCAGCTGCTCTGGGCTGGGCAGAGTATTGTAACAAATACATGATGTGATGCAAAAGCCAGTCAAGTGCAGAGAGCCCTGGGCAACCAGAAAGCTGCCTAGAAGGACCCTGGGCCAGGAAAGGACTAGCAGAGAAACGATGAAGACCCAGGGCCTTTGTCTCCTCTGGCCAAGTCCAAGACCTTTCCCTGTCCCCAAGTGGGGAAAAAACCCAGCCAATCCTTAGCAAGAAGGCATCAGCTCTGAGTAGATAATGCTGCTTTGATTGCCAGGGTATGAAAGATCAAAGCAAACCCTTCACCATCACGATTCTGAGTCCTGGCCACCCCACATGTTATCGACTAGAACTGAGCGCCATAGGGTGTTCAATGGTTGTTAACAGTACAGAAGGAGGTTGCCAGACCTTTCTTCTGCATGCCACTGGTAGGCTTGAACTGTCAACCTTTAGTTTAGTAGTCCATGGCGAATCACTTGTGCCACTCAAGGGACCTTTCCTGCGGGATCACTCTCTCACTCTCACTGCCACAGAGTTGGAACTGATTCACAGTTGATCCTCCAAGCAAGTTTTCCGAGGTTGTAAATCATTTTTCTTTCTCCCAAGGAGCTGCTGGTGGATTTGCACCACCACAGAGGCGTGGCTGCTGCGTTTGCAGAGAGCTTCCCGGTGGACCGCGCCACCAGAGCTCCCTATAGATGTATACAATGGCAGCACTAGGGACTGCTGGGTAAAGCATCCAGCTTTCAGCTAAGTCAAGCCAGCAACCAAAGGGTGACTGTCTTTCTGGGGGCCAGAGCTGCCAGACAGCAGAGAGGGAGGCTGCCTGAGAGGGGGAGGAGTGGCAGCAAGTGGGGGGCCCCTCCCCCTCTCCGCATGCCCCCCTGGCTCCGAGCCCCTGTGAGAAGAAGCCTTTGGCCAATGCCTCAGCTTTAGCATTGCAAGAGCGTCCCTGCCCACTTTCCCCCACTCCACCCCACCCCCGCTTGGCTTCCACTACAAAGCCGGGTGCCATGGGGGCAACCAGAGCAGGTGGTGGTGACTGGGAAAGAAAGGAAGGAGGGAGAAAGGGAGGCCCCTTGAAGGGACAAAACCTCTCAGGGAGGAACACTGCAGCGGACGCACTGCCAGGCAGAACCACTAGACAGAAGCCGCAGAATAACTTGCTGAGTGTCAGGCGGCTGGTCACCTTTGTGTAGGCTGGGGCCATCTGAGCTTTGGAGACAAGCAGGCGGAAAGGGAGGGGGAGAAGGCAGGAGCCTGGGACTCCTACCTTGCAGTGGAGCTGCTGGGGGCTGCAGAATGTCTCTGCTCCACAGCCTCCCTCCCCCAGTGTCTCCAGGAAACGGACACACACTACCCCTTGAGCGTTTGAGAGGCTTCTGGAAGGAGCCTGGGCTCCAAGGACAGAGGGGCCCAGCTCAGTCACTCAAGATCACAGAATTGTTATTAGGTGCCAACAGGTTGAGAGCAACTCTGAACAATAGCCGTGAACCCTGTCCTACCTGGTGCCATCCACACAATCTCGGACACACTCAGGCCCATTGCTGCAGTCACTGTGTCGATCTGGTTGAAGGTCTTGTCTTTCACTGATGCCCCACCTTTCCAAGCATGATGTCCCTTTCCACGGAACAGCCTCTCCCAGCACCACTTAGTTGCCTCGCACTGGTGCCTCGGCCTCCCTGAGCCTCAGTTTCCCCATAGTCAAAGGAGGCTAACAATAGTGCGCCTACTTTCAAGAGGCCCCATGAAGCAACAGCCAAAGTGCCCCACTGGGCCCTGGGTCTCCTACCTTTCTCTCTGGTGAAAAGCAGTGTGTTCCCATCCTGGGGTCAGAGGACATGGACCCTGTTAGTGGGCCACCATCTCAGGCCTCTGTTCCCTCAGGCTGGCCGCCCGCTCTAGACTAGGGTCAATGCATTAGTTCTCTGAGGACACTTTCTAGTTACCAGTGTCTTTCACATCCAGTACCTGCCTTGCTTCCCCCACCCCACCCCACTAGGTATCCTTGTGAGACAAGAAAAGGTAGGGAGAACCGTCACCAGTTTTACAGATGAGGAAACTGGCCTGAGTTCCTCGTCGGAGCTGGAACTAGATTCCAGAAGGGGGAGATGGAAGGGGAACAGGACGGGGACAAATGCCTGGGTCTCTCTCCCTTCTTTCCTCAGCTACCCAGGGATCCCCTGCTCTGAAGAAGAACGAGGGATAAGAATCTCAACAACCATCAAGCCCAGGGTGACTTGGTTTTGTCTGGATGCCAGTGATGAATCTGCACTATGGATGTACACTTGAACATGGACCTGAATCACGTTCCTCAAGTGGAGCCTTCCTTGGAGAGGAGAGGGTGCATTTTTTTCCCCTAATGTGACCAAATGGAAGCCAATCAATGCTGTGAAACATCACACCCAAAGGTGTTATCTGCTTCTGAAGGGGAGTAACAGGAATGCTGGCTTGGCTACTGCGTACTGAGCGCCCACTCAGTCAACTCTTCCGCTGCCCCGAGGAGTGACCACACTGAGGAGCCGGGGGGGGGGGGAAGGGAGGCTGTGGCCCCTGTGGGATTCCTGCAGCCCCATGCCCAGGCAACCTTTGCTGGAAGCTGAGTCCCTGCTTCTACAAGTTGTTTTCTATCTCAATTGACTTAGAAAGCTCCCTGATTGGCTTACAGAACGTGGATGGCAGACAAAAGTGTCTTGACTGGATGTTATCAAGCTATTCATGCTAACATTCTGCCATAGATTAATGAGGAAAAGTAATCACCTGGGTCAAATCCTAAAACTTAGTGGTCGCTGTCAGGGACCTCTCCAGGGTGCTGAAGAGCAAGGATGTCAGTCTAGAGACCAAGATGTGCCTGATCCAGGCCATAGTCTTCGCAATCACTAGCTATGCATCAAGAATCAATGCCTTTGAGTTGTGGTGCTGAACATACCATGGGCCGCCAAGAAAACAAATAGGTCTGTCTTGGAGAAGGTGAAACCAAGTTTCTCCTTTGAGGCTAGGATTTTGAGACTCTGTCTCACATACTTTGGGCATGTCACCAGGAGGGATCAGTCTTTGGAGAAAGATATCACGCTTGGAAGGGTCAAGGGACAGACAGCACAAGAGAGAAAGGTCCGCAATGAGATGGGCTGATTCAGTGACTGGGGTAAAAAGGGTAGATGTGTCAGAGACAGTGAGATTGGCTCGGGATAGAGCAGTGTTCAGAGCTACTGAGCACAGGGTTGCCATGAGTTATGGTCAACTTGATGGCATGTAACAACAACAACGGTGGTAGTAGCTATATAACCTCAGCTCCCATTCTTCATACCCCCTCAGCCCTTCCAGAACGAGTTTTATTGTAATCTGTCTTCAAGTCAATCCCAACTCAGGCACAAGAGTCTGAAATACCTCCTGGTCCCGGAGCGTCCCCATGCTCAGCTGGGAATTAAGACTGTTTTGATCCATAGGGTTTTCCTTGGCTGATATTTAGGAAGACCTTCAGTCCTTTCTTCCCACTCTTAAGTCTAAAAGCTCCATTGAAACTTGTCTGGCATAAGAGCAACAGGCAAGCCTCCACGGACAGACAGGTGGTAGTTGTGTATGAGGAGCACTGGCTGGTAATCGAACCTGGGTCTCACACTTGGAAGGTGATAATTTAACCATGGAACCACCAACGCCTCCAGAGCTAACTGGAAAAAAGCCTTTGATGAATGGGTTACCTTGATCCTCCTCAGCCACCACTCACTCATTCACTTACAGGATTTCTGACTGAGGACCTTGCCAGAAGCCGGCCTCCTCCAGACCACTGCCCTCTCCCACAACTCCCCACGCTACCAGCTGCCACTGTACCTTTGCCTCATCTGAGATGTTTGCTATGTGCTTCGTCTTGCACTTTCGTTTTCCTGATGGCTTCTCTGGACTGTCGAGGCAGGCTGCCTCCTCCAGGTTATTTGGGAGGAAACCATTCGGCGAATCCGAGATCCCCTGGGCTTTGTTGGGCAAGAGGAGATTTCTATTCCTGAGGTGGTGCTCCGAACTCTGGGAAGACGTCTTCTGCTTGCGAGCTTTTAAATCTGAAGGCACAAGGCAGAAAAGAATGATTGCTGGAGACACAGAACACATGTGAGCAAGGCCTTCCCCTAAGACGAATGAGAAGACTTTGGGGCTTAGAATGTCAACGCAAAGTCACTCAACTATGAGTATCCAATGCACTGCTGACTGCTGCACTCAATGCTTCTTGTATGGAAACCATTCTTCAACATCAAACTCCCTTCTCTACAAGATGGAGGCAACCCCAGCCCTGCCAGCAGAGTGCAGCCCATCTGTGGATCCCCAAGATGAGGGCAGTTTTAAAAAGACTTTTCTATAAAGACCCAAAGCATTTGCTGCAGAAGGTCAAGGACTGCAGTCTTCAGTCGAGATTGCATTGCAACATCAAGAAAGCAAAGACTCACCACTGGGCCAATTGGCAGAATCTTGACAGATGGTGGAGAGAATGAAATTGTTAACAGTTTCAGCTTACTCAGTTCCACAATCAACACCCTTGGCATCAGCAGTCAGGAAATCAAAAGACAATTGGATGGGGAAAATCTGCTGTTAAGGACCTCTCCAGAGTACGGAAGAGCAATGATGTCAGTCTACAGACTAAGGTGAGCCTGATCGAGGCCATGGTCTTTGCAGTTGCTACACATCAGAGAGCTGGACAATGAATGACTAAGGCTGACAGAAGAATCGATGTCTTTGAGTTGTGGTGCTGGAGAAAAGCACTGAATGTACCATGGACCAAAAGATAGCAAACACGTCTGCCCTAGAGAGGGTGAAACCAGGCTGCTCCTTGGAGTCAAGGATTTTGAAGCTCCGTCTGACATACTTTGGGCATACTGCCAGGAAGGACCAGTCCTTCGAGAAGAACATCATGCTTGGAAGGATGGAGGGACAGCACAAGAGGGAAGACCCCAGATGAAATGGATTGACACAATCACTGGGCTATTGGGGGTAGGTGTGTCAGAGATGGCGAAGATGGCTCAGGAAAGAACAAGATTCAGAGCTATGGCACACAGGGTCACTGTGAGTCACAGACAACTCAACAGCACAACCCAACAACATAACCCAAAGCTTTCTTTCCTTTCTTTCAAGCTTTTCCTCCATCCTCTCCTTTGTCTCTTTCATCACTTGAATCTGAAGACAAATTTAGCAGATCTTCTGAAGTATGAAATATACACCAAGGTGCAGAATAAATGCAGCTACAGAATGTGTCTTCAGAGCCTCACTTCTGCCCACCTGACTTCCCAGTTGTGCTGTTCTCTGAGGACACAAATCTCAAAGCCAACACAAACTCTATGAAGCCAGAAAACACCAAGGGTCTCCTTGGCTAGAAGTCCATAGCAGAAACCCTATGGCCTTTCTCAGCTGAAAAATAAGTGTCTGGGGCCACTGGAACATACAGGACCACAGCTCCCTGAACAAAGCACACTGGGATTCCTGAGAATTCTGTTATCCAAACCTGTCTCCCACAGGATCTGTTGGAGGAGTAGGTGATACTTACCCTTACCTCTCAGCACCAAGGTCTTCCTCTCTAGATGAGAGGGAGTGACAGAGTGACTACACCAATGAGGGCAGATGTTGTCAGAGGGAGCAACGTTGGCTCAGGATAGAGCAGCGTTCGGCGCCATTATTCATTCACAGGGTGGCTATGAGTTGTAATTGACTCAATGGCACATAACAGCAACAGATCAGCAGCAGCTGGAAACTATGCCATCTGTCGGAACTGACTCACAGCTGACCCTCCAGAGGGTTTTCAGAGGCTGTAAATCACACACGAGGAGACTGCCCTTTTCTCTCCCTCTGAGCTGCTGCAGGATTTGAACCACGTACCTTTTAAGGCAGTGCAAGTCTTTATCTACAAAGCTACCAGGAGGGGCCAGTTCTTGGGAAAAGCCCTTCTTGGAAAGGTGGAGGGTCAGAGAAAAGAGAAGACCTTCGACAAGATGGACTGACGCAGTGCTTGTGACTACGGGCTCCAGCATATTATGGCGAGGGCGGCACAGGATAAGGCAGGGCTCAGGCCTGTTGCTCTTAAGGTCCCTATGCGACATAGCTGACTCCAGGGCACATTACAACAACTCAGCACCGATGTAAACTGGATTATGGCCTGGGCCACTAACTCTGACTGGCTAGAGGCAAATCCCAATCTCTCCATTTTCACATCTATAAAATGTGGAGAAGGTAATATGCATCACAGGGTTGGTTTGAGAACTAAATGAGGTAATCTATGTAAAAGCACTTTCTAACGTCGCTTGGTTTTTGTACCACAGTTGGAACCAAACCCAACTTGCTGACCCTCTCATGGGTTTTCAGAGGCAGTTTCATTGCCATGGGGGGAGATCACCCATTTTTCTCTGGTGGAACAGCTGCTGGATTCAAACTGTGTACCTTTGCATTGGCAGGGAAATTCCTTACCACTAAGCCATGGCGTTCACACAGTAAAAGATCATTATGCCTGCTGGCCATCATTGCTGAATGCTTTGATCAAATTGGCCGTAAAAGTATCCTGATCGAAAGGGAAAGGGTGACAGCACGAAACAGAATTTCAAATTCTCAGGGAGCTCCTGAAGGGTTGACCAAACTAGTGCTTGAGATCATCTTGAAACCGTAAACCGAAAATATCTCCTGAGGTCTTAAGCATTCCCCTCCCCCCCCCCGCTTTTTTTTTAAAAAAAATTAGTTTAACTGGTAAAGACTGTCCAGCCTCCAGCTGCATGCTCTTTGAAGAACTACCTGCAGGAGATTAAACTGACAACAGCAACTCAAATGATAAGATAGGCATCAGAAGGAGCACTGATGTTAATGAGGAAAAGAGAATTCAGTTAAGGAGGGTGAGAAATGGTTGCAGAGTGGCAAAGAATGTTACTAAATTGGATTAAGCTGGGGGGAAATTGCTGAATTGGTGTATGTTTTGCTGGGTGTAATATACCATGGATTGCCAGGAGAACAAACAAGTTGTCCTGGAGAGGGTGAAGTCAGCCTGCTCCTTGGTGGCAAGGATTCTGAAGCTTCGTCTGACATACTTTGGACATGTTGCAAGGAGAGATCGGTCCTTGGAGAGGAACATCATGCTTGGGAGGGTGGAGGGACAGCACAGGAGGGGAAGACCCTCTATGAGGTGGATTGATTCGGTGACTGGGGTAATCGGGATAGGTGTGTCATAGACAGTGAGACTGGCACAGGATAGAGCAGGGTTTAGGGCTGTTGTACATAGGGTCGCTATGAGTCACAAGCAACTCGATGGCATATAACGACATTCTCCCCAACAACAAAATAAATACTACTTAAAGTGGGGAAAGATCTTTGTATCTATGAGGTAAATGCCTAAAGCCTCCTTCTCTTGTGAAATGAGTGAGTAGAGTTAGATCCAAGAGTTGTCAACTCATTTCACTTGACTTTGACATGTGAAATGGTTGACATATGACTTCCAAGGGCAAATCCAGAAGTGAGAGTTGTTGTTACTGGCTGTAGGTTATGAAGATCACCCCTTTCTCCCAACTAAAGCAAGCCCACCAGAATCTGCCCAAGAACTCCTCTGTTAGCTATTCTCTGAGGGTGCTTTTAGCTAGAATATTCTAAACCTCATGCCGGGACACAAAATGGTGGCAGCGGCACTGGGGAGGGTGAGGCGAAGGCGACCGAACAGGTGGTGGAGCAGAACATGTAGTCATGTCCCCTTGAGTCTGCTCCAGGCAGCTGCTGACGCGAGGAGTCCCCGGGGGCCAGGTCACCTGTGCTGAGCCCTCCTGCAGGCCTCCTTCCCACCTGTGTTGGGACCCTGTGACAGGGAGTCCAACTGGCCAGAGAAGAAAACCCTCTCATGCAAGCATTGCAGACCCCAGAGGGTGAGAAAGAGGGGGACAGCATTCAGCCTTGAGATGTATGGGCTCAGCACTAAAGGAACCAGGATTCCCCCCTCCCCAGAAAACAAGGCAGCTCCCCTTTTGCTCCTTGGTCAGCGAGCCCAGGCCTTTCAGCTTGTTACCTAGGTCTCCTTACACTGTACACAAGTCCTGTTCCTCAAGACTGTACCAAGGAAGTAAGCATTCGCCTCTCCCTTTGTAAAATAGCAACGAACATCTCTGAGTGTATAGTAAAAATAGATGTCCCAGTAACGACAACAATAACAAAAGAATATCCTAAACCTGGGCTTTTGATGCAATAAGTTTGGGCTGAGGCAAAAGACGAAGGAACATGACTGTGTCTTGTAAGGACCTCAGGAAACCAGGGGCAGCCATAGTACAGCTTTCCCTGTACCAGGAAAAGAAACACTCTCACTCCCCTTTCACCCAGGACAGCCCAGGCCCTGGAGCTCATTACAGTAGCACCAGAAGAAACCGAGAGTTAGCAGAGGAGGGATGTGAGTCAAAGTGGCTCTTATCACCTCCGCAGGTCAAGAAGGAAACTACCCAAAGCCCAAAAGCAAAACAGAAGGCCATAAGGTTGGGAGAGGGGTCAGGCGACCTGCCTAGCTTGACCTCTGCTCCACTCTCACTTTCGGACATAAACTTGAAGGATAGATTGTTGTACGAGGGACTGGATGGAGCTTTCTGAAGACAGAGACGTTTGCTAGGGGAACTCATTCATGAAAACGCCATCTTCAGATCTGGAGGAGGAGAACTCGACACACATGCCAAAGGCAGTTGCTTCAACATAAACACTCAGACACACACACATGGATGAAGAGTGACTGGCTTTTTGGCCACTGGAGCAGCCCCTAAATCCAACAGGATGCCCAGAGAAGTGAGCTCTGTGTGACTGGAGGTGTGCAAGCAAATGCTAGTTCATTACCTACCAAGAAGGCTGTGGGGAAGGCCCAACGGGGAGGAAAACTGGCCCAGGAAAGACCTAAGGTCCTTCGGGTTCGAAGTTCTGTAGGAAACTTCTAGGCTAGGACAAGCACGAAGAGTGGGTGACAATAAGCTCCTTTGCATCTCACCGCAAGTGGCCAGGCCCAACGCCTCGACCACTCACTCCCAGCTAATCACTCATGGCTCTGGCGGAAGAAAGGGAAAATGATCCCAAGTCTCAGAGAGCTGAGGAAAATGGGCTCGACTGCTCTCTCGAGTGAGTGCAGGGACAGGTATCACCCCTTAAACCGAGCCTGAAATGAGGCTAAGCCTACTTTGTATGATAGTAAACCGGAACCCACTGCCCACTCGGTATGCATTCATTAAGGGAATGATGCAGGCAGCTCAGGAGAAAACCCAGGAAGGGACAAAACCAGTCACAGAGAGTGAGTGACAGCGGGGTTCTCATGGAAGCCAGAGATGTGCTTTTTGCTCGTTGAGGATTAGGCCTGACGGGCACTCAGTGGAACATCCTGCTATTAGCCTCATGGCGCCACGATTACATATTCCCGCACCTGACACAGCCAGTATAAGTCAGGTTTGCTCTTTGGGCCGACTACCTGTCCAACTTAGGCCCGACAAAAACGATGGCCCCTTGGGTCATGTCAAAGCTCCATGCCACCCCTTGGTAACCCTTGTGGCACTGACAAGAAAGTAGAAGCTAATGCTTCTACTTACTCTAGTGGTGTGAGGGAACTATGCTTCTTGTCATAGGGACCGCTGGTGGCCTTGTGAGTAAGAGGGTGAGCTGTCAACCCAAAGACACATGGTTTGAATCCACCCTCAGCTCCTCAGGTGAAGGACGGAAGATGGGTATCTCTCCCTGTGTGGTCTACTGCCTCTTCAAGTCCTCTGGAGGGTCAGCTGTGAGGCAGTCCTGACTCTACAGACTCATAACAATGACAACAATATCTTTAATTTTTCCTTTGGGGGCTGGAGGTGTTCCAGAAAAAGCAGCCAGAGTCCCCTTTCTTCTTAAACCAAGATTCTCGGTGAGCAAATCTGCCTCCAAAAACACCCGACGCCCTCAGGTCAAGCAGAAAACTCTCCAGGATGGAGCTGCCCATGCCAGTCTGGGGCGCGGGGTGTCACCGTATCCTTGCGCCCAGGTTCAGAGGGGCCTTCCGGTCCTCAGCACACTTCCAGGCCTCTCCTAGCTAACTCCACCTTAAACCCAAAGCCAAGTACCTTGGGGCTGGATTTGAGTGACCCCCTCTGGCAGCTGGAGATCATAACACCAAATTTCTAGGGTGCAGAGACCTTCTGATGGCACGGAGACGCCCCAAGGTTCCCCAAGAACGGGACCCGCCATGGTCTGGAGGGGGCCCACCTTACCTGCTTTCCCTTTCCGTCGATGCTCTTCTTCTTCTTGCTCTGTCAGGTACTCCCCAGTCTGATATTTCCGGCTCTTCTGCCGTCTCCGTTTCTTCCGCTTCACCAGGCCTTCCTCCTCATCTTCCTCCTCCTCCTCATTGGTGTCCCACATTTGCCGGGCTGCTTCTGTCCTCCAGGGTGTTTCTCGGGCTCGCCACAGGTGCCGGCGGCCCTGGCTCAGCAGGGTCTTGTCCTGGGCATGGTGGCTACGGTACTGGGTGTCCCGTTGGGTCTTTCTTACCTTCCGACGCTTGGCTGGGGTGGGCGTCACCTCTTCCTCCTCCTCTGTGGGGAAGACTTCCTGGCTGCCCATATCACTGTCTGCCATCCCAGCAAAGGAGCTGCAGATGCTTCCTGTGGGTGACACGGACAGAAGATGGTCAGAGACATCTTCAAAACAAAAAGGGTACCTTGACTGAGAGGCAGCACCCAGGTCAAGAGGGTCTGTGTTCAGGTTCAAGCTCTGCTAGTTGGTATATGTCTGAATATTCTTTTTTAAAATTTTTCCTTTGTATTTAACATATTTTTTTAAATTACGTTTAATGAAAGTTTACAGAGACTTAGGGTTTCCAGTCATTCACTGTTGCACTTTTCTTCCTGCCCAACCTCCTCCCCAAATTCACCCCTCTCCTTGAAAAAGAAAAACTTTCATTGTTATGCAATCCCTCCCCCCAAGTCCACTCCACTGTGCAGCCTCCACTCTGGACTCCTGTCATGACAATAATACCCAATCATATATCCCTTTTAAACAGTTCTCTCTCATCTGTTTCAATGCGGTAAACATCATTCCTCCCCTCCTTCTCTGCCTTCCCGCAACCCTAATGTCAGTCCCGTTTTACAACAGTGGCCCTATGCAGTATTTGTCCTTTTGTAACTGAGATATTTCACTCAGCAGAATGTCCTCCAGGGTCACCCATTTTGTGTAATATTTCATGAGTTCCTTGTTTTTCAATGGAGCGTAGTATTCCACTGTGTGACTATAGCAGAGCTTCTCTATCCATTCATTTGTTGATGCGCACATGGGTTGTTTCCAGCTCTTTGCTATTGCGAACAAAGCTGCCGTAAACATGGGAGTGCATACGTCTGAATATTCTTTCACTTCTGTCTCTTTGGCTACAAAACAGGGAGATTGCTCCCGCCTTAGTGACATCAACGGGCCTATTTTGAGGAACCAATGAGATGGTTCTCCCTCATGTTATGCAACTATCAAGCATCAAAGTGTTCAAAACATACACCCTTATTCATACACATTTCCGCTGTCACTGTAAATCCTGCCACGAACTCTTACTTCCTGCTCTGGATGGCACCAAGCACTGGGAAGAATGCAGGAGTGGGCCAAAGATTCCAGGCCTCCGGGAAATCAGGGCTGAGCCCACTCCCTCCCTAGCACCTCCGATCTTGCTGATAAGACTGACCCGAAACAGGCAGACTCACCACCAAAGAACTATCCCAGGCAAAGCGAAGTCAGAAACAGTACCTTTCCTATGGCACAAGGAATTCTGGTGGTACGTTTGGGTTTGCTAACTGAAAGGTCAGAGGTTTGAATCCATAGGCCGCTCTGAGGGAGAATGATGGACAATCTCTCGAAAAAATATGCAGCCTCAGAAACTCTATGGAGGTTCATTATGAGTCAACACCAACTCAACAGCAATGGACATTTTGGTTGTGTCTGAGTGACCCTCCACCCTCCTTTCTAGGTATTGAATCCTTGAGAGTTTGGGCATAGCACTTCCTCCTTGGTGACAGCCCCGTCCTGGCGGACACTGTTCCTCCACCCTGAGGTGGAACCTCGCACCCCCTATGCTGACCACCCAGTACCCACGGCACCTCCTCAGGCCTCTGAGACCACCTTGCCAAGAGGGCCATTCTGTCTTCCCACACTTTCCTTCCACTATGTCCTCAACAAAAGTACAATCTGAAACTGGCCTAGTTTAGCACCCCAGGAGATCTGACACCACCTTCCTCAGTAGCAACAGAGACACTGCCATGCTTCTCCCAAGACCCAGCCATGAACCCAACACTCCCAAAGCCCAAGCGAGGCCAGTCGAAGAAAAGAAACAAGTGTCTGGAAGCCAACAGGCCAACCTTTGACCCACGTTTCAAGCCAATGCCAGTCAGATCACTTTTAGACAGTGGACATCCTGCATATAGCCAGGCTGGGAACAGGGTTCTGGGTAAGCAAATACTCTAGCTAATGTGGAATCCCCACAGAAAACACATAAGGATCACCTATTTCCAGAGTCAAATGCAGTCCAACAATGCTCAGTGCTCAACTGGGAGTGACGGCGGCGTAACTGCCCACAAATGAGCCAGAAGGCACGTCAAGATTCTGTGAGGCCACCAGCCCCTCACCAGGAGCCCCCATTTCCCACCATGCTCTCCATGAGCTGAGGGGCCAGGTAAGAGTATGGCAACTAACCCAGTTGACCCTGCATTCTGCACCCCTTCCATCCAATCTGCGTGGGAATCTGGGTGAACCAGGGCAACTATCTCAAGTCTTACCATGCATGTACCAACATGGAAGATGGTGGGACTAGAAGGGCTAGTGTGTAAGACAGCAGTGGTGAACAAGTACCAATTCAGGAGACCGACTGTGATTCTGTCAGCCTTAGTGACACAGTGGCTACTTCCTACTTTGATTATGCCTGTCACATAGGGCAGTCAGAGGCTCAAAGCTTAAATGTCCATGCCCAAGATGGGCCCCAATAATTACCAGATGCCAAGACTTGGAGCAGAGCCAGCCCTCCTGAGTGACATGTCACTTTCCTCCTCCTACCACCGGCCCCCAGCCAGAAATGGCAAATCCCTGCTCTGGAAAACTCAGCTCAAAAACCTGTTGCTGTTGAGGTGACAGTGAGGTGAGTCGATTCCGAGTCACGGTGACCCTATTTATGTGAATCAGACTACAACCGGGCTGTGCAGGAGTTCTACAGAACTTGCATAACCTTTGTAAATCAACCAGGCCTTTCTTCAGATGTTCCTGCGAGTGGGCTGGAATTACCAACCTTCTGGATATTTGCTGAGCATAAACAATTTGGGCTACTCAAAACCAAACCCAAGGAGCGCTGGTGGCCTAGTGGCAAGAAACTGTACTGCTGTCCCAAAGGCGAGCAGTTCAAATCCACCAGATGCTCTGCTGGAGGAGGGGCAATCTCCTCCAGTGCCAGTCAGATTCGATTCGATGGCAGACAACAAACTAAAAAAACAAAAATAAAAACAAAAAAAACCAAACCCACGCCCACTGCTGTCAAGTCGGTTCACAATTCATCAGTCTTCAGAGACTGCCTCTTCTTTCCCTGGTAGCAGCCAGTGGATTTGAACTATCGCTCTTCGGGTTAGCACCGCGCACCACACCATTAGGGCTCCTTATTCGTGCCACCCAGGGGGCCTCAAGACTAGGCAAGTAATCATAAAATCATGGGCAATGTCCACAAGCCCTCACCCCCCAGCTCTTCTGCATGAACTGGGCAGCTTGGCGGACTAAATCAGAAGACCAATTCTGTACCTGGGCCAGGGCAGCATTCACTCAATGAGCCTTCTCTCTCATCCTCCCAGGTGGGGTGGCGGATTCACTCACCTGATTGGCTGCGCGTCCGGGTGCTTAGGACCACAGGGATGAAGTCCCGGAAACTGCTCTTTGCTTTCTTTTCCAAGGAACCTGGGATCATTTCGGGGGTTTCATGACAGAAGGCAGATTGCAGTTAGACCCAGAAAGAAATTTCCGATGGCAAAGTCAAAGTGGGATCATGTTCACCCTGGGTCACACCACCAACTCCCCCACATCCCTAGAATGAGCATTTTTGGGGTGGTTTTGGAAAACTGGGCATTTGGATCTTTTTGCTGATACCAAGAAAGGCCATCAGTTGGATCACAGGCCAGAAAGCAGAAGGGCAGGTGGAGGGTATGACTCCGAGGCGGCTGTACCTCAACCAAGTTATAACTGAACTGGAGCGAGTCCAGGGAAGGGCAAGCTCAATGAATCTTAACAGTCGGAGCGAGGCAGGGAGATGGGAGCTGGGGTGGGGGGTGGGAGGCGGAAGGCAGAGGACAGAGGACAATGGCTATAAGAGAACAGGCTACAACAGGCAGGACACATTCCATGGGCAAGCCCATGAACGTGGACTCCTGGGGGTCACAGATACTCAATTCTGAGGGCGCCAAGGAACACTTTTGGTGGCAGAACACACAGGTTGAAAGTATCCCCCGACCAAACCAAACAGCCTGTGGCCCTAAATTATAATAAACATTTTGAAGCCCTGCCAGGTGTTTCTTTTTTACCTTTAATAGTTGGGGCGGGGGCCCTAAACTACACAAAGGTAGCCTTGATCTGCTGTTTGTGTGGAAATCCTCCTAAAACCTGCTTCTCTTTGGAGCCAATAAGGTAACAGGCCTACTGAAAGCCATCACCCTCGACCTTCCGAGGGCCTCAGTGTCTAGGGCCCGGGGGACACAGGTGAAGCCCCCACTTCCTGCTCCCAGGCCTCTGACATCAGAGGTGGTGGCTGTGTCTTCGCCTGTAGTGAAGGTTCAGTGTGTGGTCAGTCTGTGAGCCCCCTACCACCACCCCGGGGACCCTGGGCCAATGCAGGCCAGTGGCCGGGGCCCGGGGCCTACCCTCCTCAGTGCCGTCGGCTCGTTTTCCTGGAGGCTGAGACTCTGGCTTTGTCGGCTTCCGGTGCTTGTGCTTTACCCTGACTCCATTGTGCTCTTTTCCTGAATCTGAAGCCCCCCGGGGACTCTTCTTGGTTGGTTCCTGGGGGTCAGTGGGCGGCTTTCGGCACTGTGGCAGAGGCAGAAAGAGATGGGGCTGAGGTCAGTGGTTTGTAAAGTGGAGCCAGGCGCCCCGATTGCTGACATGTGGCCGGACCTGCCCAGGGTAGGGTGAGGGCAAAGCAGGGAACAGGAGGGGTTGGGATAGATCCCAGGCCCTGGTGAGTTCTCACAGGCATTCACACCCCATTACTTCAGATGGGTTCCCAGGTTCTGTGTTCACCAGCCGAATAAACACCCAAAGTCCTTTTTAGAAGGTTGTGAGGTCAGGACCCTCTCCCCTAGCCAATCACCAACAGCACAACGGGCGTAAAGCAAAAGTACTATTCACATAGGAGTTTCTCTCGGGATGTGAGAGAGGAGCATCCCCAATGAAATCCTTCTTGCTGGCGTTTCTGTGCGCCATCAAGTCTGAATTGACCCACAGCTGACCCTTGAGTGGGTTTTCAGAGGCAGGAAACCGTACAGGAGGAGACTGTCTGTCCATCTTTCTCCCACAGAGCAGCTGGTGGATTTGAACCTCACGCCTTTGGGACTGCACTGTAACTCCTTACCACTAGGCCACCAGAGCTCCCTTATGCAACCTCCCTTGTTGTTGTTGTTGTGTACCACCGAGTCAGAACTGGCCCACAGCTGACCCTCCCAGAGGGTTTCAGAGGCAGTCAATCACATGGGAGGAGACTGCCCATCCGTCTCCTGCGGAGCAGCTGGTGGGTTTGAACTGCGTGCCTTGGGGATTGCAGTGCAGCTTCTAACCACTAGGCCATCAGAGCTCCCTTAGTAATTGGAATGGAGCAAAGCAGAAAAGCAAGTGCCATAAGGGGAAAAAAAAAAATTTGAGTGGTCCTCCCAAAAAAAACTACCAAATAGCCTATAAGCTCCAAAATAATACCACATATAGCACCATATAGCACTCACAGACACAGTTCAGAGTGGTGGCTTGATGCGACTCAGGGACGGAGCCTGGAGACATCCCCTCATTACATGGAGTTTTGCTACAAAATACTGGGTTTGCTTTTTTTTGCCTCTCCCCACCCCCCCACCTCCCCGCCAAGTAAAAGTGAAAACCCCCGATTTCTTTTAGTTGTAGAATCATAAAAGCAAAGTGGCATAAAGTGAACTTGCAAAAAGCCCGGGACACCTGTAAAGTGACTGTGAGTGGCACTTCCACAGACAACTGAAAGGGATTATCAGTAGAGGCCAATCAAGAAAAGTCACGCATTTCCATGTGTAAATTAGGAGCAGAAATGAAAATGAGATTCCTACCAAAACAGGGCATAGCCATGAAGCAGGAGCAAGTCAAGTCTCCCTATGTTTCTGAACAATAAGACCTAGGTGGCGTGAATAACACCACTTTCACCCAGCCGTGCTTTCTCCTTTTCAAAATGCTCTCATCTCCATGACCTGATGGCCAGCGACTCTCAGTGGGCCAGTTAATATCATCTCCATCCAAATGATGAGGGAATGAAGGCTTCACCCAGACCACGAGGGTTAATTCTTTGCCCAGGGCCATAACACAAATAAAGCTCCAGTGGCCTAGTGGTAAGGAGCTGCGCTGCCAATCCAAAGGCAGAGGGTTCAAATCCACTAGCTGCTCTGGGGGAGAAAGATGAAGAATCTGTGCGATTTACAGCCTCTAAAACCCCGCTGGCAAGTCAGTTCTGATTTGACAGCACAAAGCGACACCTGCACTGCTAACCCAAAGGGAGCACCTCTCTGGGGGTTCGAATCCACCAGCTGCTCTACAGAAAGATGGGCAATTTCCTCCCGTGCAATTGACAGCCTCTGAAAACCCACTGGGGGGGGTCAGCTATGAGTCAGTTCCACATTGATGGCACACAGAAATACCTCCTACACTGCTCATCTCTCTGGAGATTCAAATCCACCAGCGGCTTCACAGAGAAATAAGGACAAACTCCTCTGGTGCAATTCACGGCCTCAGAAATGCAACGGAGGATCAGCTGTGAGTTGGTTTCAGCTCAACGGCCGTGAGTTATGTATTGTCTACAGCTCACCTACCTGCTCGGGGACTGCTATGTCCCGGGGCAGCCTGAACACATTTGTACCTGCGCTGAGGAAGTGGCTGAGCAGGGACAAAGGCTCCCAGCCTCTTCCCAGCAGCTCTCGTCACTTCTGCTGCCCAGCTCACCCTATTGGCATGAGACAGCTGCCAAAGACTCTCTCGCCCAACAGTCACCAGATACTCACACAGGCTTCACAGCCTCTCTGCACTGCTAATCGGGCATTACGGCAGTGTGGGGCTTTTCAGTATTCTCATGGCCGCAGTGCGCAGAATAGGCACAATGCTTTTAAAATAAAAGCCGGTCCCAGCAGGCGAGAAAGAGCTACAAACTGGCTCAAGTCATTTCTGCTCTGAGTAGACCAACAGTCTACCTTCTCAAAGGTCTTCACTTACTCTCAAGCTAAGCAGACAGCTTGTGGAGGGAATAATGTCCCGGGGTGGGGGGGCGGATCTCTGGGATCTGGAGTCACCATTCACTCCCTATATAATTCCAGGGATTCTCCCACCCCACAAATCCCTCCTGCTTTTTATTCAGCAGAGGGCCAAGCTGAAAATTCTATTCGACCTCTGCCTCTAGTTCCTACAAACAAAAGTCCTCAGAGAAAGAAAAAACCCGGGGGCAAGAGAAAGATGAGCAACTGTTGCTCAAAGCCTGACCCTCCAGTCTGGCCAGCGAGCAACTATTTTAAGTCAAGGGGAATAAAGTTCAATGTGCAGAAATCTGAACGTGTCCTATTTATTTCTGAATATCACTTTGAGCTGGCTCTTTCAAACACGCATTGTTAAATTTTACTTCCTCAAACGGGAAGGGGAAAAAAAGCAAGTAAAACGGAATATCTAGGAGGGATTTCTGTCTCTCTCTGATGCAAGGGTAGCTCTGGAAATTAAAAAGAAAAAAGATATCAGGCTCACCAGCTTTAATGCAAAAAGTTGGGAGAATGCAGAGGGCCTCGTGAGCGTTCTGATTCACTTGCTCATGACTCACTCAGTGCCATCGAGTCACAATCGACAGCTGGGGCTGACCCTCTAGTGGGTTTTCTAAGCCATGTGGAAGGAGACTGCTTAGCTTTCTCTGAGGATCTGCTGGTGGATCCGAACCTTTGGAGATGTGCAGCCTTTGGGTTTGCAGTGCAACTCCTTATAGACTACACCACCTGAGCTTCTGTTTGGTTAACAGAGTTCTAAAATATTTGCCAAGAGATTTTCTAAAAGGTGAGGAGAGATCATTGTTCCTCTATGCTGCATAGTATTCCATTGTGTGAATGTACCCTAATTTCTCAGTCCATTCCATTGTGGTTGGACATTTGGACTGTATAAATTACTACCTAACTTAGGAGGGACTGGAGGCCATTATGCTAAGTGAACTAACTCGGTCTCATAGGGACAAATGCTGTATAAGACCATTATGGTAGAATGAGTATGAGGATGGAGGGGGTGGTTTAATCATAGGGTTGTACAGTTTAGTGGGTGGAGGAAAGGGGAAAGACCTGGTGTGAAAAACAATGTTTATGAACTTTTGTAAGTAAAGCAGTATAAAAGACATGCTAAAATCCCATGAGCACCAAAGGAAGCCTATCTACCCTGGCTGCTGACTCAGGAAGCCCTCGAGGATTTCTCCAGGCTCGAGAACACAGGGAGAGGAAGTAGGAGACTGTGCTGTTGCCTGGCTATGCCAGGAAGGAGGCTGCTTGGAATGATCCCTTCGTTTTAGAATCCCAGGACCCCTAGGTGATACAGTGGGTTAAGTATGGAGCTGCTAACCAAAAGGTCAGTGGTTCAAATCCAGCAGTCACTCTGGAAAAGAAAGGTGAGACACTCAGCTCCCATTAAGCTCTGCTCCCACTCCTTCTCCCCTTGGGTCCCCATAGATGTTTTACTAGTTATCCTTCTCTTTTTTATGATAATGGTCTTATGCAATATTTGTCCTTATGAGACTGAGTTAGTTCACTCAGCATACTGCTCTCCAAGTCTCTTCCAAGTTATTTTTCAATGGATAGGGGTGAAATCACAGGGTTGCATAAATGTGGTGGGTGAGGAGAGGAGGTAAAGGAAATGGGAAAGATTCAGCGGGGACCTGAAAATACCAGGTACTGGTGGGCACAATCCAATGGAGAATGGTTTTATAAAACACAATGTATGAAAACAATGTATGAAACATAATGTCAATGAAGGAAAGCGTGGGGGGAAATAGCATAATAAAGTTGACAATTATTTTTTAAAAAAGCAAAAATTTTCACATTCTTCATAACAAGAGTAACAAGGACCATTAAACTATTTTCTTATTCTGAAAAAAAAAAACGTTTTAATAAAGCAATTTATTACCTTAAAAGAAAAATCTAGTCTTAGAAACCCACTGGGGCAATTCTACTGTGTCATATGTGGTTGTTATGAGTTGGGTTTGACTTGATAGCAGTAGGTTTTGGGGGTTAAGCTCCTTGGGTGATATAAACAGTTAACATGCTTGCATGTGAAGCAAAAAGGTGAAAGGTCAAGACTGTCCAGAGGTGACTGGGCAAGAAGTCCCGGCGATCCACTTCCGGGAAGCACACGTGACTATGAGGAGGAAGCCTTATGAACTATCCTCCTTGCACAGGGTCACCATGAGTCAAAATCAAAGTTGATGGCAACTGGCTTTTTTGGGTCTCCTTAGTTTCTTTATCTCTCTCTCAAGAAAATGAGATAGGGTAAAAAACCAAAATGATCTAATTTTGTTGCTCTCCTGAAAATGGACACTGACTGTATCACTGCGGGCAGCTTTGTGAGGCCTCCTCCAGAGCCCTGTCACTTCAGCGGTCTGCTCAGTGAACTGTTCATCTAAATCCAAGAAGGGAGAGCTGTGCCCATTACTGAGGCGGCAGGGAGCACACGCTCAGTGAGGCCAGGGAATGTGTCTGTTGGCTTTGCAACAGTAACAGTTACAGCAGCAACCACCAACACTTACTGAGTACTCAGCAGGTTCCAGGCGCTGTTCATTTCCATATATAACC